GGTAATTGCCAAATGATCCTCCTTTTATCAGTTTAGGATCTTAGCAGTTTGAGAGTTCCTGGTTTCTACATCTTTGCCAGTTGGTGCCATCCATCTTTTTAGTTATTGCCAGTTGAATTGCTCCTATTCCGATTTATAAAACCAGTGTCTTATTTTAAATTTGCATTTCTTTTATTGAAGTTCCAAAGCAGTTTCATATTTACTGATCATTTTTTGCTTTTATCTGTGGATAGTCTGCTCAGTTCTTTTGTCTGTTGGAGTGGAGGATGGGTATCTTTTAAAGATTATTTCCACGCATTGTAATTAGGGATGCTAAGTCTTCCAGGTAGGGCATTAGGTTGCAAATGAATTATCCAAATCATTTGTCTTTTAACATTGTCTGTGGAATTATGTTTTTTACAGGTCATGTTTTGGAGGGGGGATGGGGTAGAGGGAGAGAAAATCTCAAACAGGCCTCCATGCCCAGCGCTAGGGGAAGAGTTGGAGCAGGGGGGCACAAGGCAGAGAGGATGGACTTGATCTCCTGATTTACAACTGTGAGCCAGAAATAGAGTTGGATGATGCTTAACCCAGGCGCCCAACAGATTTTTAATATTTATGTAGTCCAGTATCATCTTTCCTCCATGGCTCTGCATTTCATTTCCGTCTTAGGGATAACTTGACCCACATAATTACCCCCCACCCGTTTTTTTTGAAAGTTTGTTTTGAGAGAGTGTGTGCACACAAGTGGGGGAGGGGCAGAGTTAAGAGGAATAGAGAGAGAATCCCAAGCAGGCTCCTTGTGGAGCACACAGGGCTCTTTCTCACAGCCTAGAGAGATCAATCAGTCTTAACCAACTGAGCTACGCAGGCTCCCCTACCTACATACATATTCTATTTAATAACTGCATGTAGCCTCTTTTATGGATGTATATTTTATTTAAATCAGCAGTTCTCAAACTTTTTCGTCTCTGGACCTTTTTATACTCTTAAAAGTTATTGAAGGGCCACCTGGGTGGCTCAGTCTGCTAAGCACCAGACTTAGGCTCAGGTCATGATCTTACAGTTCATGGGTTCGAACCCTGTGACATCTCAGAGCCTGAAGCCTGCTTCAGTTTTGTATCTCCCTCTCTCTCTCTGCCCTGCCCCCGCTCACGCTGCCTGTCTCTCAAAAATAAACATTAAAAAAATTTTTTTTATTGAAGATGCCACAGAGCTTTGGTTATATAGATTTTTATCTATTTCCATTTATTATATTAGAAAATAAACCTGAGAATATGTAAAATTAAATACTCATTGAAAAAATCCATTGTATGTTAACAAATATTTTTATTAATTTTTGTAAGTTTATTTATTTTGAGGGGGGCGGGGGCAGAGACAGGAAGAGAGAGCGAGAATTCCAGGCAGTCTCCACTCTGTCAGTGCAGAGCCCTATGGCGGCTCAAACTCATGAACTGTGAGATCATGATCTGAGCTGAAGTCAGACGCTTAACCGACTGAGCCACCAGGCACCCCCACATAAATATTTTATATGAAAAAATATTTTAAAAATATAATGAGAAGTACAACATTTTTGCATTTTTATAAATCTCTTTAAGTGCCTGACTTAATAGAAGTTAGTTGTATTTTCATAGCTGCTCCTGCATTCAGTCTGTGGAGGAGATAAGTTGTTTTATATTAAATACAGGAAAATGTGACCACATATGTTCATGGCTGGAAAAGGGAAGGGGATTTTCAATAGCCTTTCAAGCTAATTACAGGTATTCTCCTTTGATACTAGGTTTCTTATAGGTCACCAGTAGTGTAGAATCTGAAGCCATATCCAAGAACCTTTCTTTCTTTTTTTTCCCCCAGTATTTTGTTTTTGAGAGAGAGAGAGACAGAGTATGAGTCTGGGAGGTGCAGAGAGAGAGGGAGACAATCTGAAACAGGCTCTAAGGTCTTAGCTGTCAGCACAGAGTCCAACATAGGGCTCGAACTCATGACCTGTAAGATGATGACCTGAGCCCTGAAGCCAAAGTTGGACACTTAACTGACTGAGCCACCCAGGTGCCCCTCCAAGAACTTTTCCTACTCTGTTATATTAAAAATCTTTCAGTTTATCTTACATTTGAAATGCATCTTTTACTCATGCATGATTTTGCAACACCACTGGTCATTTGAAAAACAGTGAGTTATTCAGATCTTCTGCATATTGATACTTTTCATTATAAAAACAGTAGTATTCATTAATATCACTACTAAACTCACTAAACTTTAAGTTTGTCAAGCTCAACAGGGGCACATGCAGGATTTCCAAAATTCTGATTTTCTCCTGAGAGTCCACAGTAAAGCATCAGGCTCACTTTCTTCATTTTCAAGAAATAGCCATGGTTTATCTGTCAGTCATTGTTAAAGTGGTGTTCCATGAAAAAAGTGGCTAATTCATTTCACAGTTCAGTTTTTTAAGCATTGTTCTTTGGTATGCAGAAGTGTTGTTTTAGCATTTTTGATTTTTTTTTTTGCAGAGTATGAAAAAGACTGTACATAAGTTGAAATTTAATGAAACCAATAATTATTGCTTCATCAGTTGTATTCTTCACTAAAACTGACATTGTTGTTACTATGAGAGGTGGTGGTAATAAAGGGTATAGTGACCGCTATTACCATTTGGTACCACTATATGAAACTTGCTAAAGCACCAGCGCATTTACCACACCATTGCTTTTGTACCATTAGTATAGATGTCAACACAGTTAAAAACGAAAGAATGCTTTAGCATTATTATGAAAATAGTTTTTACTTATCACAGCTTCTAAAAGGGTCTTGGGGTCCCCTTAGTGTCTGCACATTTTGGTAACTGTGATTTAAATGATCTGTTGTTGAAGGCCCATTAAGATGTTTCCCAATTTTCCAGCATTAAGAACATTCTTGTACAATATTTGTGCCTAGTCATCTAATTATTAGGATAGATTTTTGTATGTTTAATGGCTGAGTGCAGTAAAAAAAGACAAAAAGACAATTTTAGTGTCATTTTAATTGAGATATAATTGACCTATAACATTAATTTCAGATATACAACATAACTCAGTATTTATGTGTATTGTGAAATGTTCACTATAGGAAGTGTACATTATAACATCTGTCATGATACACAGTTACAAAGTTTTTTCTTTGTGACGAGAACTTTTACTGTTTACTCCTCTCTTAACAACTTTTACATATATAGTACATTGTTATTAACTGTAGTCACCATGTTGTATATTACACAGTTATGAGTTATTTATTGTATAACTGGAAGTTTATACCTTTTGACTGCTTTCACCCCTTTTCACTCTACCCTCACTTCTAGCATCTAGTCTGTTCTCTGTGTCTATGAGCTTGGTTTTTTTAAGATTCCACATATAAGTGAGATTATATGGTATTTGTCTTATTTCTTTGACTTAGTTAGCATAATGCCCTCAGGGTCCATCCAGTGTTGCAAATAACAAAATTCCCCCCTCCCTTTTTTTTTTTGTGGGTGGATAATATTCCATTGTGTACATACAACACTTTCTTTATGCATTCATTCATTGATAGGCACTGAGGTTGTTTCCACATCTTGTCTTTGTAAATAATGCTGCGTGAATATATGGGTGCATATATTTTTTTGAGTTAGTGTTTTCATTTTTTTTTCAATATATACCCAGAAGTAGAATTGCTAGACAATATGGTAGCTCTAAGATTTTTAATTTTTTGAGAATAGATTGAATTAATTTTGGAAGACCAAATTATAGTACTTGACCTTAAGTGTGTGTTTAATAGTTTTTATGCCTTGGCTTTTTTCTTTTTGCCCTTGATAGTGGGTTGGCAAATTCAGATTCTCAAGTGGATGTTGAAATGCATCTCATTATTATGTTAGATTATCCAAGCATTAATCATGGAGTTATGAAATACATGTTATCTGTTTGGAAACGTATCTTTAGGTAACATTTTTGTCAATGAAAAAATAAAATTTTCCTTTTGAGTTACCTTTGGTATAGTAATTCAGACAATATAATTGTACTAAAGATGTTATTTTGTGATATTAAATATAATTTTGAAGTGACAAAAGTTTATCTTCCAGATATTAGTATAAAGCTTTTTTAACAGAGGTATATACAGACATGTAGAAACTAGTATACATTATTTCAGGATATATATCTGTGGTAGCATTACTCCATGAATCTCTTTATTTTATTTTCTCATTGGTGTGTTTGAGTAAACAGGGACTTTATTAATAGTTTCCTCCCTTTTTTAGAAGTCCCATTTTCACCTCTTAGCTAATATCTTTTTATTTCTCTGAAAATCCAGCTTTCTTGTTCCCTACTTTCCTGTCTGGTTTAAGTACTTCTGCTCTTTTTTCATGAGTAACTGCTGAATATCTTGGTTATAGCACTTATTAGCACACTGTAATTGTCTCTCTGCTACATTTCTGTGAATTACTCTAAGGGCTGAACCTCAATAGGTCTCTAAAGTATACAGCAGAGAATCTGTTATGAAGTAGGTATAAAATATATATTTTAAAAATGAAAGAAAAAACTCATTATTTGTCACTCTTAATATTTACCATTTAAAATTGTTTAAATTAAGAGAAATTCAAATTTTTAATTGTGTTAAAATACATAGATCATAAAATTTGCCATCTTAACCATTTTCATCTTGCAAAACCAAAACTCTGTACCCATTAAACAATTATGCATTCCCTTTCCTTCTAGTCCCCTGCCCTTCTACTTTCTGCCTCTGTGTTTGATTACTGTAGGTACCTCATACAAATAGAATCAGTACTGTTTTGTCTTTTGATGAGCTTATTTCACTTACTGTCCTCAAGGTTCATTCTCAGAATTTCCTTTTTAAGTCTCATAAGTATTCCACTTTATGTTCATTTATACCACATTTTGTTTATTCATCTGTTAGTGGACATTTAGGTTGCTTCCTCCCTTTGGCTGTTGTGAAGAATGCTGCTAGAAATGTGAATGAATTAAAACTACCATTTTTTTTTAACGCTGACCTTTTACTTTTAGATGGGCACTCTGGTTTTTTAAAAATGATAAAAGCAAAACTTGGCAAGCAAACCTTCGGCTGATCTCTAAGTTTGATACTGTTGAAGACTTTTGGGCGTAAGTAACCATTTTAGGATGTTTATTTTATGAATTGTGTAATTTTTCATTTTAAATCATGGATAAATGAAGGGTAAGGTGAATAGTTAATAAATATTCATCTGTAGACCTACCTGTTTGTCCGTCTCCTCACAGCTCTTTATTTTTCATCATTTAGAAAGCTCCAGTCTTGTCATCCTTTAGCCCTGTGTATTTTGTTTATTCCTTGTCCCAAGATCTCCTTTCCTTGAGAATCCTTTATTGCTTCTAGAATTTTGAAGTTTGTTGGAGCTTGTCCTTTTCTTGGTTGCCTAGATACATCTGTCACATACTCCAGAGCTTTGTTAAGTTCCCATTTGTGCAAATTCTTTTTGGTATAACTCCTGGGATTTCTTGTGATGGGGTTTCTGAGATTTCACAAACTGAAATCCTCAAAATTCAGGTTTGTCCCAAGTATCTGTGATGTTAGTTGATCAACTTCAAGAAGAATAGTTGAAATACCTTTGAGATTTTGTTTTAGATTTAGCAAAAAGTTCAGATATCAGGGTCAAACCTTTGCTTGATTCAAAATATAAAATTGTGAAGTCTTCAAGACGTTTTATAATACTGATTCTCTAAAAACAAAGTTAATTTAGTATGTAATTTTATTTGAAAAATAATTTCCATTTCAAAGATAAAATGTGTTTATGAGCTATGAATTAACTAGTAGTTACCTAAAAATTTTAATTTGTACATCTAGTATATTTTTAGATCATATATATCTGTATTGAATCAGTGAGCAACTCTTCTGTATTAACATAACCACCAGAGTGTATTAACATTAACTGCCTAAGTGTATTTTGCCCACACTAAGAACAGATTGTCAGAAGATTCATACATGTATACTTCCTCCAGAACAGAAACAATATTCTTCTGTGTGTTTCCAGTGCTTTGCCCATAATAGACATGTAGTATACCTTCGGATCACTGGAAGAAAAAAACATTGAATAATTAGAGAAAACTATAAATTGTGAAATTTTAAGAGTGGTCACTTTATATTGGAATCATTGACTGTTTTGTTTTTTTTTTAAGTAATGGAACTCTATTTAAATCCCCAGTAATTCATAGGTCTGGTTGTCTGTCTGGTTAAACTAAGGTTATTTTACCCTTCATCAAAACATCAAGTGATTTTCTTCCTTAATTGTATTTGAGTTCTCCAGACCAAGTCTGTGGAGGAGGAAGAGCAAGAGTCTTGAAACATTTCCCCCACTGAATCAGAGCCACATATATCTAGTATGGTTAGCTTTCACCATTTTACATAATTGCGTTTCTAAGTGGACCTCTAATTTAGAATATGGTCGCCTACTGTAGTTATGTGTAAGCAATATCATTGCATTGTGGACTTTTATATTGTAATTTAGACATATGAAGGAATCCTTTAGCTTTCTGTAAATATCTAAGCACTTCTTAATATCTCACTTTTTTTCTGGCAGATTTAGTGGTAAACAACTGTTGAGCCCTTTGGGATTTATGAAGTTTTGTCTGTAGTGTTCTAATTCTGTTTAAATTGTGTCATTACTAATTTTCATTACTGTAAACTTGCTAAGAGACCTTAGAGCAACATGATGGAGAAAGGAGGCACCTAGAGAAGCATTGGTCATTTCTACCTTGAATGCCATTGAAGACAACCATTTCTATCCTGTCCATTAATTTTATAAAGTGGTGCTAATTTTATAGTTATTGTTAGTATCCAGGCCTCTTGTGTTGCCCAGAGGAAGGTGCCATTGATAATGTAGTTTGGAAAGAGTGACCATTAAGTAGAATAACTCGACAAACCTTATTATTCAGCCCTATGCTACCTTTCCCCAAATTGAGTTTATATGTTATCCTGTAGAATGTGATTCAAAGAATGCCAGAATCTTTCTTAAGACTCTACTTGAAGTATTTCTAGACTGGGTTAAAATAGTGTCAAGAGAATCTGACTAAAGATAATAGCATGGTCTGTGGTCTGCAGATGGAGTAAAGATCATATTTCTGCATCTAACATTGGAGACAGGCAAAGCATTCTTACTCTGTTGCTATTGATATAACAATTTTGTTACAAGAAACTTTAGAAGATCAAATGATTTAGCATTCTACCTCTAAGCTAGTGAATATCTAAGTCATCTCAAGTGTTAAACTGTTACGTTAGTATTTGGGGAAAAGTTTAGAAATACAGATTCTAGGGTTCTACTCTGTATATATTTTTTAAATGAATGGCTTTTTTTAAGGTTTTTCTTTTTTAATTTTGAGAGAGAGCGAGCGAGCGTTTATTTATTTATTTGTTTTGAGAGAGAGAGAGAATGAGAATCCCAAGCAGGTTCTGCGCTGTCAGTGCAGAGCCAGATGTGGGGCTTGAGCTCATGAACCATGAAACCATAACCTGAGTCGAAACCAAGTGACTGAGCCATGAAGGTGCTCCTCTAATCCCCTATATTTAAGGAATTAAGGATTAAAATCACAAGGAATAGGTCCTGGAACTGTTGTTTTGTTTTCAAAGCTTCCCAAATGATTGCTATGCTGATTGACTAGTAATGATTGTGATATTTGAAGCCTATTGGTCTGTTCTACTCTTGGATATCTTCATGGATATTAATGTTATTTTATTTCAGTCATGCAGTCCTGATAGGAAGTTTACCTTGCTTTCTCTTGATTTGTCTTTTTGTGTATTTAAAACTACTTGTTATTAGCCTTATAAATTCTTTCATGTACTTAAAGGCCATCTCAAACCTCCTAGTCTCAGTTTCTCATATAAACATATGGATGCATTAAGTTAACTAATGCATCAAAATATATTTTTGTCAAAGTAAAATCATTAAAAATAGTGTCTTGAAAATCCTCAAATGCTGATTCTTGTACTGACCATTATTAAGGTACCTCTTTGGTCCAGTTCAGAAATGGACTCGTAAACATAAACTTTTATCTTTTGAGTTTTATCACATTCTCTAAATGTATATGTGAGCGCCTAAACTCTGCATTACGTATTTTATGTTTATATTGTCCTTTTCTTTTACCTAGTCTGTACAACCACATCCAGTTGTCTAGTAATTTAATGCCTGGCTGTGACTACTCACTTTTTAAGGTATGTTTAATTGGTGATTTCATATATCAGAAGACTGGGCCATTTAGTTATTCATTAAGAACTCTTGTCAGAAACTTAGGAATAGTTAATGCTCTGAGGTTTGGAGAATAATTAAATTAGTTTTACTAGACTTTAGCATTAACCAGTTTTGCCCTACTGCTATATATAATTGAAATTGAGAGTCTGACTCTGTGGGCATACACTGGTTGATTTTTGAAGAGAGCTTTGATATCCAATCTAGGCTCTTTATATAGATTTGAGTAGCCTGAAGTCCAGAGTTTATCAGGAATTCTTAACTTGGGATGCATTGATCCTTGGGATATTTATAAATGGGTTCTGTCAAGTCGTAGGAGGGTGGGGAGTCATTCATTAACTCTGAAATTGCATAATTTTTGCATATATTTTCTAGGCATAGAAATGTATGTAATTTTTCAAAGGTATATGTTACTCAATATTCAAGAACCTCCAAATTGAATGAAACCCAAGGTCTGATAGCTAGAAGTATCATAACAGTTTTATGGAGAATAAAGTAACAAGTTGACAGAACTGTTGCTTGCGCTTTCTAGTGATCTCTTCAGTTAAAGTAACAGTTTTGTCTAATATTGTTATCTATTAACCTTGTAGGATGGTATCGAGCCCATGTGGGAAGATGAGAAAAACAAACGAGGAGGACGATGGTTAATTACATTGAACAAACAGCAGAGACGAAGTGACCTGGATCGCTTTTGGCTAGAGACAGTAAGGTTTTAAAATTACAGAGTAGTTTTGGCATGTTAAAACTTAATTTGCATTACATTTTACATTGGTTACTTATTTGAAAAGATATTTTCACGCTGTAAAATCTAAGCCGGCAATTAATTTTGTTCTGTCATGTGAGTACTGTATAGTTTACATATTGGTATAGTGAAACCGTGTGCCACATTACAGATCAGATAGAAAGTGATTGGCAGTTGACTCTTACCTTCCACAGTAAGCTCATCCTGTCATTTCATTAACTTCAAAATTACAGAGCCTCACATTTTGTATGATGTAAGTTTTTACAACCCTCTTAGAATATTACTTCGTATACTAAATTCTTTATATCACTAAAGCAAACAGTGAAATTGTAGCTTGATATTATTCATCTTATATGTTATGATATAATCTGGAACTTTTGGCTTTATAAGACATAAATTAGAGATAATTGACATTTTCTATAGTGAGAGAAGTCCTAAACCCCAAGCTATCAGGAATAGGGATGATAGTCTCTTGTGTATTCTCAGCATTTGGTACGGTGTCTTCTTTATAGTTAGCGCTTGTTAAGCAGCTAGTGAATATTTGAATGAATGGGTGTGTGTGTGTGTGTGTGTGTGTGTAAATGGAGAGGCTTAATTTTGCTTTTGGGGGAGGTTATCAGTAAATACCATTTTAGAATTCCACATTAAAAAGTCATTTCAGTTTTGTAAGATGACAAGTTCTGGAGATGGACGCTTGTGATAATTGTGAATATACCTACGCCACTGAACCGTTCCCTTAAAAATGGTTAAAGCGATTTAATGTCATGTGTCATCTATACTCAAAAATTTTCTAATGGTTAAAATGGTAATTTTTTTTTAAATTCTTTTTTATTAAATGGTAAATTTTATGTATATTTGCCACAATAAAAAAATTAGAAAATGCTCACGAAAAACCACAAGAACAAGAGGCAGTTAATCTAACCATGAGTAACTATTCAGTTATTATTAATATAATGACAACTGTTCAGTCATTCTATTAATATTTGTTTGCTGGCAAGTATAAGCAGCAGCAGAACAAATGAATATTAAGATAATTTGCCTTTATATGTCCCCTGATAACAATTGCCCCATTTGCTGAAAAAGTTAAAACAACTGCTAATGTTCTTGTTATTAAGCAAAGAAACACGTGAATTCTTAAAAAGTCAGGACAAAGAACTGTAAACATAAAATTTAGACTTTCAAGAAATCAGTTTTTGATTTAAAAACTGTTTCTTAGTTTTGTATGCATACGGATATGTAAGGGACATTTGCAGTTTAATAAGCAATATATAATCTATTTAATTTGGGATTAAATTTTTTTTAAGCTGCTGTGCCTTATTGGAGAATCCTTTGATGACTACAGTGATGATGTATGTGGAGCGGTTGTTAATGTTAGAGCTAAAGGTGATAAGATAGCAATATGGACTACTGAATGTGAAAACAGAGAGGCTGTTACACATATAGGGTAAGTTTTGCTGTTTGTATACTTGCTTTAAAATATTAAGATAACTAAAGCAGAAGTACTGTTATTTAAGGCTTTAAAAATAAGTGGATCTGTAAATCATGATTTTCCCTGTATTGTTTTCATCAACACTTTTATAGTCTTGAACTACTCCACTGGTTTTCAGTGACTTGTTCATATTTTTTAAAATTTCTCTAAAATTCTTTTCCCTAGCAATGGAGTATAATCGCCAGAATACTGAATTTTGACATTTAGCATTTTATTCATTTATCAAATGAGAATATGAAGTCTTTTTTGTACTTTAAAACCATAACACGAATAAGTAATACCCATAATAATTCAGTGAACGTTGACAAACGGTATATGTGCATCCTGTGCATGTGTGTGTACACTGTACATAACATTTCTGTCAAATTTAAGCAATAGTATCTTAATTTTGTCCATATTTAAAACCCACATGTGTATGTTTTTACATTTTTCTTTTGGTAAATATTATTCCTTGCAAAAATTGCCTGTTGCCTTTCACCCAAAATGTTGGTCAGTATTAACTTGGAATTTCTTTTCACTACATTTAACTTAGTAAAATTTGACTTTAAATTTTGTATTAAAATTCTGCATTGGTCACAGGTCATAAAATGTTTGGTTTGCCTTTTGTGATTTCTTTTTTTTCCAAACATTATGAATTCTATGAACATAATTCCTTCTGGATTAAAAAAAGTCTGAGGATTTTCCCAGTTTTACTCTACAGAGGTTTTCTGTAAAAGAGAGAAGTTGACTGTTACTTTGTCATCATATTCTTTTTTTTTTTTTAATATTTATTTTGAGAGAGAGAAAGCATGAGCACGGGAGAGAGGGAGAAAGAGAGAATCCCACGCAGGCCTCGCCCTGTCGGTGCAGAGCCCCATGCGTGGTTTGATTCCATAAACTGAAATCATGACCTGAGCCGAAATCAAGAGTCAGACATTTAACCGACTGAGCCACCCAGGTGTCCCAATTTGTCATCATATTCTTAATTTTTCTGTCAGCATCAGGACTTAATAGTTGTGGGATTTCATATTTGAAATCAATTTAAAAAAACAAGTATCAATTTCTTTCCTGTGAAAATCGTGTATTTGTGTCAATATTAAAAGTTACCAAAATCTTTGTAAAACATTTGACCTCAGTTTTTCTAGGAAAGATTATTTATTTATTTATTTATCTATTTATCTATTTATTTATTTTGAGAGAGAGACTGAGAGCACAGGCAGGGGAGGGGCAGGGAGAGAGGGAGAATCCCAAGCAGGCTCCATGTGGGCATTGCGCAGAGTGAGACTGAGAACTCAAACTCAGGAAACTGTGAGATCATGACAACCTGAGCTGAGCTGACATCAAGTTGGTACAACTTGAGCCTGGCTTAACCAACTGAGCCACTCAGGTGCCCTGGGAAGATTTTTTTTTCCCCCTCCTCTTCCAAGTTGTATGGCTCAGTGCTCTGGCTTTCTAGCATTTTTAATGAAAAGGAATACATTGTTTCATAATATACATTATCATGAAATTATTTTTAGAACTTTCATATGAATGAAGGTAGTAGAATCTTCTGGAAGGTGCAGTATGAATAAAACTGCCATAGTATCATATTGGAGGATTTAGTGCCATGAAAATATGTATTTATTTTATTTTGGTGCTTATTTTGAAATTTTGCTATTTTTTTCTTTAGAATATATGTCTAGATTCTTAAATTTACTTGTGATGCTTTTTGTGATCTGTCCTCAATTTTATCTTGTTAACCTTTTTGCTCATGTTTTCTTTCCTTATGAGCTGTAGCCACACAGCCTTATTTTTGTTCCCCATCCTTCAGATGTGTTTCATTTTCTCAGCATTTTACTTTTAACCCCATGACTTTTAAACGGGAACTTTCTTTGATTTCACAGATAGGATTAGATCATCTTTGTTATACAATATCACAACCCCTATACTTACTCACTTTGGCACTCATCATAGTTTATTTTTAAAATAGAGTCACATGTTATTTGAAAAGTAGATTGCAGAGTTAGTATATAAGGCAGAAATCATTTATGTCCTAAATTACCCTCAAAATACCATAAAGTAATAAGTATGATAAATGTAATTTGCACTTTTATATAATATCTATTATGGTTTATATGAAAAATATAATTGTAGCACTTTAGATCAGAGAATTAGAGTAGACCTATGTTGGAAATTAATTTTGTATACATTAATTATGCATGTGCTATGCTTTACCCTATGTATATATGATTATTTGTTTAGAGATAATCAAATACTATAAACATCCAGGAACTGTCTAAACTTTGCTTATTATTGATTTATTAATAGTTACAGTGCCTGATAACATAATAGAGTCTCAAATATTGTTTCGGTGATTAGCCAAGATTGTTGTGAAAATGAAGAGTATATTTTGTTAAAAGGAAAAGTATGCAATGTCCTGTTTCACTCTGTAGATATTTTTTTATATATAAAGAATAATACTGAATTTGGTGTGTGTGAATAAAAATTAACAGCTACTTTTTTTCTTTTGCTTCTTCTAGGAGGGTATACAAGGAAAGGTTAGGACTTCCTCCAAAGATAGTGATTGGTTATCAGTCCCATGCAGACACAGCTACTAAGAGCGGCTCCACCACTAAAAATAGGTTTGTTGTTTAAGAAGACACCTTCTGAGTATTCTCATAGGAGACTGCGTCAAGCAATCGAGATTTGGGAGCTGAACCAAAGCCTCTTCAAAAGCAGAGTGGACTGCATTTAAATTTGATTTCCATCTAAATGTTGCTAAGATATAAGAGAAGTCTCATTCGCCTTTGTCTTGTACTTCTGTGTTCATTTTTTTTTTTTTTTTTTTTTTTGGCTAGAGTGTCCACTATCCCAATCAAAGAATTACAGTACACATCATCCCCAGAATCCATGAATGTGTTCCTGGCCCACTCTATTGTAATAGCTTAGTAGAATTACCATTACAAACACACTTTACCCATCCACAATATTCAAAAAAGAACTTGTATTTCTATACCTTAAAGGAAAAAAATTCTGTTTATGTTCCATTGTATGCAGGAGCATATTTTGCTGGTTTGAAAGAGTATGATGCATACAGTTTTCTAGCAATTTTCTTTGTTTCTTTTTACAGCATTGTCTTTGCTGTACTCTTGCTGATGGCTGCTAGATTTTAATTTATTTGTTTCCCTACTTGATAACATTAGTGATTCTGATTTCAGTTTTTCATTTGTTTTGCTTTTGTTTTTTTTTTTTTCCTCATGTAACATTGGTGAAGGATCCAGGAATATGACACAAAGGTGGAATAAACATTAATTTTGTGCATTCTTTGGTAATTTTTTTGTTTTTTTGTAACTACAAAGCTTTGCTACAAATTTATGCATTTCATTCAAATCAGTGATCTATGTTTGTGTGATTTCCTAAACATAATTGTGGATTATAAAAAAAAATGTAACATCATAATTACATTCCTAATTAGAATTAGTATGTCTGTTTTTGTATCTTTATGCTGTATTTTAACACTTTGTATTACTTAGGTTATTTTGCTTTGGTTAAAAAATGGCTCAAGTAGAAAAGCGGTCCCATTCATATTAAGACAGTGTACAAAACTGTAAATAAAATGTGTACAGTGAATTGTCTTTTAGACAACTAGATTTGTCCTTTTATTTCTCCATCTCTATAGAAGGAATTTGTGTTTCTTATTGCCAGGCAGTCTCTATTGTGTCTTTTTGTAGTGTCTTCCACGTGAACAGCATAAGTTTGGAGCACTAGTTTATTATGTTATAATTTTTAATAAATTGAATAGGTAGCATCATATGTATGGAATTAAATTGATGTGGCTATCTTTGTTTTTTGATACAGGAAGGCATAGTCCTTCAGTCATAGGTAAATAATGTACTCTTAATGTATTAAAACACGAGAGAATTGTTATCTTGGTGCATTACCATTTGATTGGTAGGAATGGTAGTTGTAAAACTTGGTTGCTGAATTGAGATGTTCTTTTGTGAGTGTCAAAATGATAGCAAAGGGAAAGAGTACAGGTGGTGGGGACATAAACATTAAGAATTTTGTTAGTGTTGCTGTCTAAATAGAACGGAATAAACAGGTATGAAGACTTATATTTATATTGGTAAATTGGTGTAGTATGGTTTTATGTAAATTTGAAACGTGATCTACTCTTTGTAGGCATTTGAAAGCACATTTGAAAAATTTTGTATATAATTGTGTTATTTCAGATGCAGTAAAATGAAATATGGCTATTGTAGACAAAAGAGCTGAACTTCTAGATAGAATGAAAATGATTAGATGAGAGGAAAATTTGTGTTTAGTGATTATGAATTAATCATTTAAAAACTGGAAGGTTTGACAAAAACACATATAAAGTAAACATGAAATTAATAGTATTGATTTTGTTGAAGAATTTGAAAACTTACGTTTAAAGGGTGCCATCTGAGTACTCTGGATACCACAGACACCTCTTGTTCAGTGTTCTAGAAATACTGAATCTCTTGTGTTTATAATCTCAATAGACTATAGCTAATATCTGCTGCTTAAGCTTGAGTGGTTAAGGTGATTTATTGTCTGTGTTGATATGTGTAGTCGTGAGCACTTGAGGAGCTTGCTTATAGGTGATGGTGGTGTGTTGGCAATGAGTGGGATTGGAGTAGTGTATCTATTAGAAATTAATACTCTATTTCCTTAATTCTGAGATGCAGTCCATTTGAAGAAGCATCAGCTTTCAGGAGTGGAGGAGGAATAATGCATTAAATGTACACATTTCTGAATTTTAAAAAACCTGATATATGATAAGCATTTGATTATCCTTATCATTACCATTTTAGAATCATAATCAGTTTTATTTTAAGTCTTTTCCCAGTGGGTGGGGAGGATGATAAATTACTGAGTCACTTTTGGCAGATGCCACATAAGTATTACAGTGACTTGCAACTTTTCATAATTTCATTAGCATCTTTTCTAAATAAGATTAGACTATATGATTTTTCTAACTTCTTTCTCCCTGTCCAACAGGATATTATAAATAAATATATTTTCATAATAGAGAATTAAAATCTTTTAACAGAAGAATTGTAATTAATTGTAGGGTTGTGACATATTTAACCAATTTAATTGTTAATCCAATTCTACAGAAGGATTTGAGACATACTGTGTAAGAATTAAATAATTACAATACTTAGGTAATACTTTGTGCCAGGCAGTGTTCTAAGCACTTTACATGCACTTTAACCTGCACAGTAATTATTCGATGTAGGTGCTGTAGTCCCCATTTTATAGATAAAACAGAAGCAGTGAGGATGTAAGTCACTGTACAGCTAGCAAATTGCAAAGTGTGGATTTCATTCCAGAGACCCTGTAAATCACATCATACTCTTAATAGTGTAGAGCCTATCTTAAAGGCTGTAGTAAATCACATCAGATTATAGTCATTTTATAGGCCAGGCATTTTACTTAACATTTTATTTCCTTTGGTTATGAAAACTTAAAATAGACAGTCCCCTTAGGCTCACTCTGTTAGCAATCAACTAAATTAATCATTTGGAGGAGTTTTGAGAATGTGGAGACAAAGATACAGGAGTTTACAGATACTGTTCAGTTGTATCAGTTAAGTGGATATTTTCATATACAACTTTTAAGTGTCTATATCCTGTTATCTTCTAAAATAAGTGGTAAAATAAAGAAAAATTTTCAAGTTGATAGTCAAGATTCTTAAATACCATAGTTTGCATTTAAAAGGATAAATTTCTAAGGCAGTGTGATAATGCGATGTTTTACGTTTTACAATTAAAACAAGTTAATGACAAGTCTCTGTGCTACTTTTTATCTCTTAATTGTTATGGAATGTCTTCATTATTTAGGAGGGGGAAAAAACAACTGAGTTTTCTCACTTAAGAGTCAGACTCTAGACAAATGCAAGATTTTAAAGATCAGATTGAAATTAGAAAACAAAAGTGTAGGTCATTGCTATCCATTGTCTCTGTGGACCAGTTAGAAACTCAGAAATGTCTGGAAATTTCTACAGCAATTTGATAGTGCTGTCACATTAAACTATATCATTTTTCTAGTAATATTTGAAAATGTATTTTACAAAAATACGTTTTCAACAGAGAGCAATTTAGGGATTAAGACTGGTCCTTCACATATAATTTGAGAAACACTACTCTTAGGTGGTTTTCCTCAGAAGGCAAGGACAGCTCATTTGCCCATCCTTCCCTAAAACAACTCAGTTTGTTATCCAATCTCACTATTGGATTTGGTGTCAAAATTTTATTCCTAAACTGTAGCATCTTTAAAGAATACTGTGTGGTATCCTGCTTACTATGAATTCCAAAGTTGACATTAGGCAGCCTTCCTAGTACCTTGGGTAGTTTAGACTTTAATGTTCCTGTTGCTATTCCATTGCTAGAAACAAGAAATTGCAGGCATGTGGTCACATGTGGTACTATTTTTTTTTATTTCAGAGGAATCAATTCTTACATTTTAATCTTGTCCTGTTTTCTTTTAATTCAGCACTTGTAATTCCTTATAGTTTTGCACAGAGGTTCTTTTCCTACCTTTTCTATCCCCCCACCCCAAATATGTATTGAGTTCTTGTGTTCTAGGTAAGAGGCATAACAGCAGAAAACAACTAGTTTTAAACTTTTAAAAACAGACATGTCTTTTTTTTAAATTTTTAATGTTTTATTTATTTTTGAGAGAGAGAGACAGCATGAGCAAGGGAGGGTCAGAGAGAGAGGGAGACACGGAATCTGAAGACAGGCTCCAGGCTCTGAGCTAACTGTCAGCACAGAGCCCGACGCGGGGCTTGAACCCACGAACCGTGAGATCATGACCTGAGCTGAAGTCGGATGTTTAACCGACTGAGCCACCCAGGCGCCCCAAAAGCAGACATGTCTTCAAAATAAATCTCTCCATAAGGTTCTACAAACATTTTTTGTTACTGAACTAGAACTCCTAGGGTCTCTGTTACTAGGGATTAGTAGTCTGGAGGTATATAGAATGGGAGGTGGTGTAACCATGAGCGAACATCACACTGGGTAAGACTAAACCCTCACAGGCAAAGAATAGCTTTCGCAAGACCCGATTTTTGTATTACTGAAATCTGTATGATCAGGAGAAATTTGGTGGTTCTTTTTTTATAATGTAATTGCACTTTTTAAAAATTTCAACTTTCATTTAACATACTGAGTACGGTGAAACATTTTAAATGTGATTGTGTCTATGTTGGCATGGTTGCATAGACAGCAGTCCTCTAGCCACCTTCCCAAAATACCCGACATGTTTTTTCCTTTCATATTTGACCAAACATAATGCATGTTTATTGTATTTTCATTACAGAAAGGTAGAAGGTGAAAATTTCCTCTTGTTCAGACCCACTCTTTTTTTTAAGATCCCTTTCAAATTTCTGGTAAATGTCTAATTTTCTGTGCACACAGCAGGTACATGTGTTTGCACGTGTGTGTAACTTTTCTTTGGACACGTTTTGGTAGCATTGTTTTCTCATTTAATACTTTTGGACATTTTGACCTTGCATTGCACATATGGAACATTATGTATGTTCTTTGTCTAGTGACCCATTCTGTGAATGTATGCCTTATTGGGGGACTGCCTGCCTGCTTTCCTTCCTTGTGATTTTTGCCTTTATAATCCCCAGTGTAAATTGTAGTCTTATCTTTGTACAGTGTAGTTCTTTGCTATGTGTAAAGAAAATAATTTTCTGTTCTTTAGCTAAGTGGCACTTCTTTCCCCTGTCCACACCAGACTTTTGACTCCACATACGTGAATTATCATCAGTTTTGTAATTGTGTCCTACAGTGCTTCTTTGCAAGTTTTGCCATTTTGAGCCTTGCGATACCTTTCTGATTGGTTTTTAATTGCATTTCTTCTAATGAGCCAACATTGTTATAATTACAAGTACTTTTTCCCAAAGATAAGCAATAAGCTAGTAATTCTATTTTAGACCTGTAAACATTGGAAGAGCTTGAATTAAATAATGTTGATATTGGACCCTGTTCTATTTTTAAGCAGTGTAATGAATTTAACTTCATAATTTTTAAAATGAGAGCATTTCTCAAACACATCTATATGTTTTCATAACCTTTTTACTTGGCACTTGGTTTTGTTTTTAAGGGCTTTTTTTTTTTTTTTTTTGCTTTATATTTGCTTTAAATCTTTGACTCAGTTTTAAGTAAATGGTTTCTGTGCAATGCCTGTGTATTTTGTTTTGGTACAGGATACACTATAAAACGTGAGACATAAGATATGTTCCAGCTTGACCCTGCTCTGTGCTGTCTCATGTCAAGGCATTAAGTGTATTACATACATATTTGGGGCTTTTTCTGTGTTCTGGCACTGCTTTCCAGATAATGACTATGGTTAAATATTGCAGTGTCCTGGGCTTCTTCAAGCATAAGGAATTTGTAATTGAGCCAGAATGACCTTTAAGGGAATCACGAGTTTTCATTTCATATGCTTTTTCTTCTTTCAGGAAACCACTAATTATTTATCTCCTCCTAATGCTTTTTTTAAAGTGCTGCTCTTTATAAAGTTTGTCTTTAAATATTCGTATTTTCCATTTCTTAGGTAATCTATTCTGTCACTTTGTGACAGTGACTTCCAAGCATTTGTCCTTAGGC